CCTGTCAAGAGCCCCCCGGCTGGGACTGGACTCACTCTTGCCTGCCCTCGTCAGGGACATCGGGAAGCGCCTGGAGGTGCGGCGGAAAGTGGACGCCTGCCTGGGGAAAGCCAACTACATCAGCCGGCTGGAGCACGCACAGGCACGGCTGACCCTGTCCTACAACCGGCGCGGGGACCTCGCCATCCATCTCGTCAGCCCCATGGGCACCCGCTCCACCCTCCTGGCTGCCAGGTATGTGCTGGGCTGCCCCAGGGTGGCCCGAGGCTCAGGCTGGCCCCACTTGGTTTGTGGGATGTGGGCACCCAACTCTCACACTCCCATCTTGCCCAGGCCCCACGACTTCTCGGCCGATGGCTTCAATGACTGGGCCTTCATGACGACGCACTCGTGGGATGAGGACCCCTCTGGGGAATGGGTGCTGGAGATTGAGAACACCAGCGATGCCAACAACTATGGTAGGTCTGGGCTGGCCCGAGCCCCACTGCTGCCTCCCTCCAAGCCTGGGATGAGAGTGGGAGCACCTTGGACACCCGGTGTCCCCCCAGCACTCCTGAGCTCTGGGTGCAGTAACACTTGGGTGCTTTGCAGTGACCTGCTGGGGAGAGGCTGGAGCTGGGCACATGGGAGGAGATTCCGTGGCTCTGGGCAGTGGTGGGGTCTGAGGCGTCAGGTTCTCCCCATGCTGGGTGGCCTGGCCCTGCCCCACAGCAGTCCTGTGCCTGGGCATTGCTGCATGCTGGGGCCTCTCCAGGAGATAGGCAGAGCCCTGTGGTCCTTTGGCAGCCCATGGAGGGTACCAGTGCAAACCCCCTCCGTGTGCCTGCCCCGAGTGTGGGCGCATCGGCAGTCCTCACCCCGTATCCTTGCAGGCACACTGACCAAGTTCACGCTCGTGCTGTACGGGACGGCCACTGACTCCCCGAGCCTCTCCAACCAGCTGGAGAGCAGCGGCTGCAAGACTTTGACCCCCAGCCAGACCTGTGTGGGTGAGTGTGGGGCTGGTGGGTAAGGGATGGGGATGTGGGGCACAGGCAGCCCCCAGCCCGCACTGACGCTGCCTGTCCCGCAGTCTGCGAGGAGGGGTACTACCTGCACCAGAAGAGCTGCCTGAAGCACTGCCCTCCCGGCTTCGCGCCCGGCATCCAGAGCACACACTACGAGCTGGAGAACAGCGTGGAGCCCATTGCCCCGCACCTCTGCCTGCCCTGCCACACCTCCTGCGCCACCTGCACCGGTCCTGGCCCCAACCAGTGCCTGACCTGCCCCGCGCACTCCCACTTCAGCAGCCTGGACCTCTCCTGCTCCCATCAGACGCAGAGCAGCCGTGCGTCCCCTGCCCTGGCAGACGGCGAGGGGCTGGCCGAGGCTCCCCCTCCCACCAACCTGCCTGTCCTCATTGCCAGCCTCAGCTGCGTCATCATCGTCGTCATCTTTGTCACCATTTTCCTGGTGCTGCAGGCACGCTCAGGCTTCAGCCTGCGGGGTGTGAAGGTCTATGCCCTGGACAGCGGGATCATCTCCTACAAGGGGCTCCCCTCTGACATCTGGCAGGAGGAGGGCCCCTCAGAGTCGGACGGTGAGGACAACGAGGCCCACAGCGAGAGGACTGCCTTCATCAGAGACCAAAGTGCCCTTTGATGAGCCCTCCCGCCCCTCCCTCCTCCCTGCCCAGCACCATGGGGCCAGGGTAGGCAAGGCCGAGGGGTCCTGGACTCTGCCCCCAACCCTGTCCCGCACCACAGCAGCCCGGGGTTCCCACCCACCGGCACTGTCCCTTGCCCTGGCCTGGGCAGCCGGGCACAGCCCTGCTGGCACCCTCCCCAGCTCCGCACTGTCCTGGTCTGGCTCCATCTGTCTCTGCCCTGTGTCTATCCTGACCCTGTGCTGGGATGTGTGGTGGCAGCAGGGTCTCTGACTGGCCCTGCGCTGGCGGCCATGTACCCTGCCCGGGATGATGGCTGTTGCTGGGGGTCACACACATCCCCTGGGTGGGCAGTGTGTGAGTCCCTGGGGTGTCACTGCTCAGGCTGGGCTGGCCAGGGTTGGCTCTGTCCCGCAGCATCCCCTGCCCCTGCCGCCCTCAGCACCCATCTGCATCCCTGGCTCTGCCCACTGTATCCCGCCTCCCTGCCACCCACCGAGGGTCTGTCTGCCTCCACCCGTGCCCTTCAACAGCAATAATGGCCAGGCCTCGGCTGCTGCTGCCTGCTTGCCCGCTGCCTGCCCGTCCCGCGAGGCTGCCTGCAGCGCGGACAGGAGCCCCCTGCACCAGGGAGCATGGGGCAGGGCAGCGCCTTGTGACCGTGGCTCAGTGCTGCTGCGTAGGCAGGGACCCCCACGCACCCCTGCTCTGCGCCTGTTTTGCCCCTGGGCAGGGCTGTACAGGTGCTGGCCAGGGCAGTCTGGCAGCGCCTGGCTCTGCCTGCACCCTGCCTGCGCTGGGCAGAGCCCGGCGACCCCTGCCCCTCGACGTGCCTTGCCCCCACTTGGTGACAATCCGTTCTGCTCCCTGCTGGAGCCCCTTCCCGGCACCGCCTGCCCTCGCCGCCCCTTCCCCGTGGGCTGGGGGCAGGTGCCACGAGCCCCTTTGCCGTCCGCACGCCGGGGCCATGGCACGGCCTGTGCCCATGCCCATGCCCGCTGCAGCCAGCCAAGGACGGAGCCGCCGGCTGGGGGCCACAGGACTATTTTTCTATAATAACTTTTTGGTGCACAGTAATTTTTTCTTGTAATTTAATCAGCCGGGAGCTGCCTCCTGAGCCTGTTTTTAATTTAATGGATGTGGATATAACGCTAGAGAGACTGAGTTATTAAATGTTCAGAACTATGCAAACCAGCCCAGCTGCCTGTGCTCTGTGTGCCGTGGCCTCACGTAGCCCATGGGATGCCCGGATCTGCCCTGCAGTCACAGGAGGGTCCTGGGGCACTGCCTGCAGCAGGCACTGCGCTGGGATGTGCAGGGAGCTGCTGCTGCCCCACGGTGCTGCTGCAGGAGTCTTCAGCGCCGTGTCCCCCCAACAGCCCCTGGCCAGGGCAGAGAAGCGCCCAGAGAGGAGAAGAGCACCCCCCCCAGCCTGGGCTGTGAGCAGGGGCTGCTGCTTGGGGACCTGGTGGGGTCAGCCCCTGCCCTGAGCGACGCGAAGCAGCTGCTGGTCTGGAACCCACAGAGAGGAGCTGATTCGAGGAGCGGCTGCAGTGGCTGGAGGTGCGGGAAGAGCCTGAGGAGCCCGAGCACCCTTCCCACAGCACTCGGGCTGAGCCTCTGTACTGCAGCCGCTGCATCCAACACCACGCTGCAGCTGGAGCACATCCCCTGCGCTGGGCATGGCCAGGCTGGACCAGGACCTTGCCATGGCCAAGCCTCAGGCAGTGCCCAGCCCAGCTCCACTGAGCCCCCCTGCAGGGTCCTGACCCCCAGGAGGCTCCATTGGGCTGCACTTGCTCGCAGAGGCTGCCCCGCTGCAGAGCCCCTCGGCCTTGCTGCGCCCGCAGCAGCTTCCTGTGGTCAGGAGCTCGCTCCCTGCAGCGTGCAGGTGGCTGCAGGCGCTGTTCTTGCTGTTGTGGAGGCCGGGGCAGGGGCAGGCCCCTGCTGCCCCTTGGCTAAGGGCTGCACGGGCTCGTGCTGGCAGCTCGCAGGAGCTGCAGCCGGCGGGTGATGCACGACGGGTCCCGCTGCGGAGAGGCAGCGGCTGCAGCCGCACCGGGCTCTGCAGGAGCACGGACAGAGGATGTGAAACTGGGTGAGCTGCGGTGTGGGCTCGGCACCCTCTGTGCTGCGGGCAGTGGTTGAGGCTTCCTGGGAAGAGCTGCTGCACTCACTATTGCACTGGACCCTCGCAGCACAGCCCCAGGCTGGGTGCTTCCCACCAGCGGTGCCCCGTGTCCCTGCTGCAGCTGGAGCAGGCAGGAGGGGGCTGCACTGCTGGGAGGTGCAGGGGATGCAGGAGGGATGCTGGGGCTGGGAGTAGCATCCTCTTGGCCTGGCTTGCAGACACTTGCTAAGCCTGTGACGGCGCTGTGAGTGTCCTGGAGCCACCGGGTGTGGGGATGTTGCTGAAGCTGCTCTTGCCCTCAAACCTGCTATGAAAATTACTGTTTCCTGGGAGCCCACCACCTACAGTGCTCAGCGCTCCGTGTGGCTGGATGGGGCACAAGTAAGGTGGAGCCCCCCAGCAGGCAGGACCCTGGGGATGGGCAAGCCATGTGCACTTGAGTGCTGCCTGGGGGCTGTGCCGGGGCACAGTGGCAGCCCCTGTCCGTGCCGTGCTGTGCCGTGCCATTGTGCTCCCCTGCGGTGTTGCCCCGTGTGGGAAGGCTGAGCAAAGCTCCATCTGACGTGCTTCTTCCCCCCAACTTCCTCCAACAGCGGGATCAGCAGGCACGGGACGGGGCTCAGCACTAACTACCCAGGAGGCAGCCAGGGCACGTGTGTGGCGGTGCCAGGTGGCAGTGCTGGTGGTGGTGGTGGTGGTGCCATCAGCCGGGGCTGAGCTGTCCCCTTGTGGCACCAGTGAAGCAATTTGAAGGGGGAAGCACCTGGGTCTGTTGTGGGGAGCTGGGAACCAGCTGCGCTGAGGGCTGGGGCATGGCCCGTGGGTGCCTGCGCAGTGAGTGCTCTGTCCTGTGGCCCCTTGCAGTGACAAGGGCCAAGCTTGGGGGTGGTGACAGGATCACCCCCTTCAGTGGGGCTGTCCCTCAGTTCCTGCAGCCTCTCAGGGAAGCAGGGCCATGGAGAGGGCCTGGAGACAGGCAGGACCAGGCTCAGCCGAAGGGGATCTGCGGGGATGGGGTTCAGGATCCACGTGGGCAATGGCCCACGGGAGATGCCCAGGGCTCCCGCAGGACCGAATCCTGCCAGCACCAGGCCTTGGTGGGAGCAGCGATGGGCAGCGGGGCTGTGGCTGCGGGCGATGGCAGAGCCGTGGGCCCGGGTGTGGGGACTGGCAGGGAGGGGAGGAAGGGCAGGAAATCTCGCAATGGCTCTATGGTCAGCACCGGGTTTCCTGTTCCTCCCAGGAGCCGGAGCTGCACTGGGTCCACACTGCGCCGGCCCTGGCCCCAGGAGGACGCCAGCTCCAGCTGCACGGCAGGGACCTCGCAGGACACGCAGGTTGGAGGGGCCATGCCCCACTGGGGGGCTGGCAGAGACAGGGACCCCTTTGTGGGGCTGGGGAGGGTTCTCAGCCCTGGTCCTCTGTGGGGTCGAGTGCTGCATCAGGGGAAGTCCTGCCCTGCACAGACACGTGCCCTGCCCAGCACCCTGCTGCTTCTACTGTGACTTTGCCATGGGGCAGGATACGCCGGGACCATGGCTGGGACCAGTTTGGCTCCCAACAGCCATGTTGGAGTCCTGGGTGCTGGGACACATCCAGGCTCAGCGCCTTCCTCCGGGCCTTGACACCACAGCCCCCTGCTGCAGGCTCCCCAGGAGGGGAGTGCCAGTGGCAGGAGGGGCTGGAGCTGCTGGACCACATGGGGCTAGTGTCCCTGCCGGGTGGGGGTCACGGCTGCGCTGCCCTGGGGACCGGCCCTGTGCATGGCAGAGGTGACGCTGCTGGTTTTGACCCCAAACTTCCTCCTTCCTGGCACCATCCCCATGGGCCCCAACTTCCTCTGGGCTCGGGTGCACTCGGCACCCTCCCGCCCTCCCACCTGCTTTGAATGGGCTTTGCAAAGGAGATGGTGTGGGCAGGGAGAGCTCTGCTCCCCACAGGCACCTTGTCCTGTGGCAGGTGATGCGAGGGAGGGTGCGGGATGCAAAGGGCCCCCTGGACACCGCTCTCTGCTGTGGGCAGCAGCCGCGGCTCAGCTCTCCGGCTGCTCTGCAGCCTCCTCACACCCGACCGGCGGTGCCATGGGCTTTGGGCCGGAGCTGTGGTGCCCGCAGGGGCACAGCGCGCTGCTGCGCCTGCAGGACAGTGAGCTGCGCCTCCTGGAGCTCATGAAGAAGTGGATGTCGCAGCGCGCCAAGAGCGACCGGCAGTACGCGGGGATGCTGCACCACATGTTCTCCCAGCTGGAGAAGCAGGAGAGCCCCGGGCAGCTCCGCGCCGGTGACCACGGCAGCCAGATCGGGGAGGTAGGGATGTGTGGTGCGGTGCCGGGTGGTGGCCGTGCCCACGTCGTGCCTGACGCCCTGTCCCTGCAGTCCTGGTGGGTGCTGGCGAACCGGACGGAGGCGCTGAGCCAGATCCTGCGCCAGCATGCGGAGGAGCTGGTGGCGGGGCCGCTGGCCAAGCTGAGCCTGCTCATCCGCGACAAGCAGCAGCTCCGCAGGGCCTTCAGCGAGCAGTGGCAGCAGCTCAGCCAGGAGTACACCCGGGTGCGTGTGTCCCGGTGGGGGGCAGCGGGGGTCCCCAGCCCTGCTCCGCTGACGGCGTCACCCTCCCCAGACCACGCAGCAGGAGATGGAGAAGCTGAAGGCTCAGTACCGCAGCCTGGCGCGGGACAGTGCCCAGGCCAAGCGCAAGTACCAGGAGGCCAGCAAAGGTGCCCGGCCCCCGCCTGCCCCGTCCCACTGCATCCCAGGGGTTGCAGCCTTGGGACACAGGGCTGTGGGCTGGGAGCACCCCTGTGTACGGGGAGGTTCGGTGTGACCGTCCCAGCCCCCCCACCCCCTGGGACCCTCACTGGCTGCCGTGGATGCGCTGCAGCTCTGGGACCGCTGGTGCGCCACGGCGGGTGTTTTCCATGGCCTCTCCCCCCAGACAAGGAGCGGGAGAGGGCAAAGGAGAAGTACGTGCGCAGCCTCTGGAAGCTCTATGCCCTGCACAACCAGTACGTGCTGGCCGTGCGGGCAGCCGCACTCCACCACCACCACCACTACCAGCGGGCACTGCCCACCCTCCACCAGTCCCTCTACAGCCTGCAGCAGGAGATGGTCCTCGTCCTGTAAGAGCTCTGCTTGCCCAGCTGCTTGCCCTGCACCCCGTTACTCAACCCTGGGCATCCCCCATGGTCCCTGAGCACCAGCGGGATGTGGGACAGGGTGACAGCGCTGGCAGCAGGGTGGTGGCACCCAGCAGCCCCCAGCACCCATGTCCCTCCAGGAAGGAGATCCTCAAGGATTACTGCAGCATCAGCAGCCTGGTGCAGGAGGATGTGTTGGCTGTGCACCAGGAAATCGCTGGTGCCATCCAGGCCATCAACCCTGCCACCGAGTACAGCAGCTTCATCCAGAGCCACAGGTACAGCTGGTGCTGCTGCAGCCTCTGCCAGGCGTGGACACTGGTGCCTGGCATGGGGCAGGTGGGAAGCAGAGACTCGCTGGCTGCCTGCAGGTACAGCTCCGAGGTGCCACCAGTGGTGTCATTTGATGAGAGCTTGCTGGAGGAGACTGAGAGCCTGGCACCAGCTGAGCTGCAGCTGAATGAACTGACCATCGAGAGCGTCCAGCACTCGTGAGTGGGGCCGGGCTGCGGGCAGGGGCCACTGCCACCAGCACCGCAGCTCAGTGCCACAGGCACCTGTGTCTCCTGCAGTCTGACATCGGTTGAGGAGGAGCTGGCATCTGCCACGGAGGCCGTGAGCAGCAAGGAGCAGCGGGTGCAGGAGTTGCAGGCGGAGATCCGGGGCGAGGAGCAGGGCCTGAGCCCTGGGGAGCGGTGAGCTGCGGTGGGTGGGGGACAAGGGGATGCAGCAGGGTCTGACCGCCCCATCCTGTCCCCAGGGTGCACTTGCTGGGCAAGCGGCAGGGGCTGCAGGAGGTGCAGCAGCAGCTCGAGGGCTGCCTCTGCACGCAGGCCAAGCTGCAGGCGCAGCGAGACCTGCTGGCCACCAAGCTGGCGGAGCTGGGGACCGGGAAGCCACTGCCTGTGCTGCTGCTGCAGGATGATCGGCACTCGGTCTCCTCCGTGGTGAGTCCTGCCCCGCTGGCCCTGGGATGGGGCTCACTGGGCTCAGGGCACCCGCAGCCAAGCAGAGCTCACAGCTCGTGTCCCACAGGAGCAGGAGCGCAGCGGGAGCACTGCACTGGACACCCTCAGGAACCACATCTCGGGCATCTTCAGCCCCAAGTACTCGGTGAGTCCCTGGGCACCTCCATCCTGCCCCCAGCTCCCTTTCTGAGCCTCCTGCCCCCTGGCACCCCCTGTTCTCTCCACAGCCCCCTCCTTTCCATGCCCCCCCCGCCTGCTGTGCCCTGCCCTGGGCACCGCTCCCAGGCACTGCTGCTGGCCCTACCTCCAGGGCACGGCTGGGCTCACCCTGTCTCCATCCTCCACCCAGCTGCCGCCCCTCGTGCCCCTGATCCCGGAGCTGCAGAAGCCGCTGTGCCAGCAGGTCTGGTACCACGGGGCCATCCCGCGCTCGGAGGTGCAGGAGCTGCTGAGCTGCAGCGGGGACTTCCTGGTGCGGGAGAGCCAGGGCAAGCAGGAGTACGTGCTCAGCGCGCTGTGGGACGGGCAGGTCCGGCACTTCATCATCCAGGCTGCTGATGTGAGTGACTGCAGGAGGGGTGGTGCGGCCGGGGTAGCCGTGGGCAGGCGGAGGGGGGACCCTGGTGGGAGTGCATGGGACACGCGTGCAGAAGATGAGTTGTGCCTTCCTTGTGGGGCGTGAGCCCTGCATCGTGCATGTGAACTCCCACTTGTGTGTGCCCTGCCCGTGGGCATGCACGTCTGCATGTGCCACATGCCCGCACGCACTGCAGCCCCTGCACCCCAGTCCTTGTGAGCAGGCCCATGTGTGCAAGCACAGCTGGTCAGCCTCCCCTCCCCACAGAACATGTACCAGCTGGAGGGGGACGGGTTCCCCACCATCCCGCTGCTCATCGACCACCTCCTGCAGAGCCAGCAGCCTGTCACCCGCAAGAGCGGCATCGTCCTGGCCAGGGCTATCCCCAAGGTGACAGTGGGCAGTGGGCAGAGGATGTGAGGCTGGGCCAGGCTGGGGGACAGCTACCACCTTTGGTGTCTGCTCGCTGCAGGACAAATGGGTGCTCAACCACGAGGATGTGCTGCTGGGGGAGTGCATCGGCCGGGTGAGTCAGGGTGCTGCAGCCCTGCCTGCGTGGGGTCTGCAGGAGGACAGGGCTGTCCCCACTGGGTCTGTGGGAGGACAGGGGTTGCCTCTGGCCACTGGCGAGCTGGGCTGCTGCACCCGTGTCTCTCAGGGGAACTTTGGGGAGGTGTTCAGTGGCCGCCTGCGTGCTGACAACACCCCCGTTGCCGTGAAATCCTGCCGGGAAACCCTCCCATCCGAACTCAAGGCCAAGTTCCTGCAGGAAGCAAGGTCTGTGCAGCCATCACGCTTGTCCCAGCCCATCTGTTTGTCCATCCTTGGGACCTGGGGCTGTTCAAGCCATGCTGGCACTGCAGCATCTTTGTGCCAAGGGCTATGCCTGGGGCAGCCGGCCTCCCCCCACGGTGTGCTTCCCTGGTCCCGCAGGATCCTCAAGCAGTACAACCACCCGAACATCGTCCGGCTCATCGGTGTCTGCACCCAGAAGCAGCCCATTTACATTGTCATGGAGCTGGTGCAGGGTGAGCAGCCCCGCTCTGCAGCCGCCACGCTGCTGGGGCAGCCGGTGCCCGCGTGTGCCGGGGCAGCCCACACCAGCTCCGTGTCCCGGGTGCAGGGGGGGACTTCCTGAGCTTCCTGCGCAGCGAGGGGCCCCACCTGCGTGTGAAGGAGCTGATCAAGATGACGGAGAACGCTGCCGCCGGCATGGAGTACCTGGAGAGCAAGCACTGCATCCACAGGTGGGCTTGGGCGCACACCAGGAGGCATCACTGACCCTGTCCTGTGCCCGGGGACCCCTGGGTGCACAGTAGGTGCATGGCTGATGGCTCTGGACTGTCCCAGGGACCTGGCTGCTCGCAACTGCCTGGTGACAGAGAAGAACACCCTGAAGATCAGTGACTTTGGGATGTCACGGGAGGAGGAGGATGGCATCTACGCCTCCACAGGGGGGATGAAGCAGATCCCCGTCAAGTGGACTGCCCCTGAAGCGCTCAATTATGGTATGGGATGGAGCCAGCCATGGCCTGGCAGCCCTATGGCACAGCTGGGAGCCGGGAGTCCTGGGCATGCTGTCCTGCTCCCACATGCCCAGTCCTGGGGAGGAAGACCTGGGCACCCCAGTCCCCAGCCACCAGCATCCAGCCTGCCTCATGTCCCCAGGGAGATACAGCTCAGAGAGTGATGTCTGGAGCTTCGGGATCCTGCTGTGGGAAGCCTTCAGCCTTGGTGCTGTACCCTACACCAACCTCAACAACCAGCAGACACGTGAGGCTGTGGAGCAGGGTAAGGGACGTGCCACGGTCTAGCTGTCAAGGGCAATGAGGGGCCATGTTCAGCACGGTGGATCAGTGGATCTGCTGTGGAGCTGTGCCTATGGGGCTGGTGGCTGCTACTTCCTCATCGCTGCCCCCGCAGGCGTGCGGCTGGACCCCCCCCTGCAGTGCCCTGAGGAGGTGTACCGCCTGATGCAGCGCTGCTGGGAGTACGACCCTCGCAAGCGGCCCAGCTTCGGCACCATCCACCAGGACCTCATCGCCATCCGCAAGAGGCACCGGTGATGGGGAGCCCCGGGCCCCACCGGCCCGCTCCAGACAGCTCCGTGTGCCCAGATCCATCCCGGCAGCAGCGTCCATCTCTGCCTGGGAAGAGGGCGCTGCACCTGGACACGGCTGTGACCCCTCCCATGTGCTCCCGTTTGCGCTCCCGGGACACGGCACCCCCAGCTCCTGCCGGCCTCCATCCGCTGCAATAAACAAACGGGCTCCGCAGCACCGCGTCCGTGCGGCTACGAGGGAGCACGGACCGCGGGAGCCAGAGGGGCCAAGCACCCGCGGTACAGCCGGGACGGTGCACCGGGACAGGGCACATGGGGATGGCTGCATCGGCAGCCGGGTGGCAGTGGGGCTGTGGGGTGATGGCCAGGCGCCTCCCGGTGCTATGGGATGATGACCAGGTGAATCCCGGTGCTATGGGATGATGACCAGGTGAATCCCGGTGTTATGGGATGATGGCCAGGCGCCTCCCGGTGCTATGGGATGATGACCAGGTGAATCCTGGTGCTATGGCATGATGGCCGGGCGCCTCCCGGTGCTATGGGATGATGACCGGGTGAATCCCGGTGCTATGGGATGATGACCGGGTGAATCCCGGTGATATGGGATGATGACCGGGTGAATCCCGGTGCAATGGGATGATGACCGGGTGAATCCCGGTGCTATGGGATGATGACCGGGTGAATCCCGGTGCTATGGGATGATGGCCGGGCGCCTCCCGGTGCTATGGGATGATGACCGGGTGAATCCTGGTGCTACGGGATGATGACCGGGTGAATCCCGGTGCTATGGGATGATGGCTGGGCGCCTCCCAGTGCTATGGGATGATGACCGGGCGCCTCCCGGTGCTATGGGATGATGACCAGGTGAATCCCGGTGCTACGGGATGATGATCGGGTGAATCCCGGTGCTACGGGATGATGACCGGGTGAATCCCGGTGCTACCGGATGATGACCGGGTGAATCCCGGTGCTATGGGATGATGACCGGGTGAATCCCGGTGCTATGGGATGATGATCGGGTGAATCCCGGTGCTATGGGATGATGATCGGGTGAATCCCGGTGCTATGGGATGATGACCGGGCGCCTCCCGGTGCTATGGGATGATGACCAGGTGAATCCCGGTGCTATGGGATGATGATCGGGTGAATCCCGGTGCTACCAGATGATGACCAGGTGAATCCCGGTGCTATGGGATGATGATCGGGTGATGATGATCGGGTGAATCCCAGTGCTACCGGATGATGATCGGGTGAATCCCGGTGCTACTGGATGATGACCGGGTGAATCCCGGTGCTACGGGATGATGACCGGTTGAATCCCGGTGCTACGGGATGATGACCGGCTGAATCCCAGTGCTACCGGATGATGATCGGGTGAATCCCGGTGCTACCGGGTGATGATCGGGTGAATCCCGGTGCTATGGGATGATGACCGGGTGAATCCCGGTGCTATGGGATGATGACCGGGTGAATCCCGGTGCTATGGGATGATGGCCGGGCGCCTCCCGGTGCTATGGGATGATGACCGGGTGAATCCTGGTGCTACGGGATGATGACCGGGTGAATCCCGGTGCTATGGGATGATGGCTGGGCGCCTCCCGGTGCTATGGGATGATGACCGGGCGCCTCCCGGTGCTATGGGATGATGACCAGCTGAATCCCGGTGCTACGGGATGATGATCGGGTGAATCCCGGTGCTACGGGATGATGACCGGGTGAATCCCGGTGCTACCGGATGATGACCGGGTGAATCCCGGTGCTATGGGATGATGACCGGGTGAATCCCGGTGCTATGGGATGATGATCGGGTGAATCCCGGTGCTATGGGATGATGATCGGGTGAATCCCGGTGCTATGGGATGATGACTGGGTGAATCCCGGTGCTATGGGATGATGATCGGGTGAATCCCGGTGCTATGGGATGATGACCGGGCGCCTCCCGGTGCTATGGGATGATGACCGGGTGAATCCCGGTGCTATGGGATGATGATCGGGTGAATCCCGGTGCTACCAGATGATGACCGGGTGAATCCCGGTGCTATGGGATGATGATCGGGTGATGATGATCGGGTGAATCCCGGTGCTACCGGATGATGATCGGGTGAATCCCGGTGCTACTGGATGATGACCGGGTGAATCCCGGTGCTATGGGATGATGACCGGGTGAATCCCGGTGCTACGGGATGATGACCAGTTGAATCCCGGTGCTACGGGATGATGACCGGCTGAATCCCAGTGCTACCGGATGATGATCGGGTGAATCCCGGTGCTACCGGGTGATGATCGGGTGAATCCCGGTGCTACGGGATGATGATCGGGTGAATCCCGGTGCTACCGGATGATGACCGGGTGAATCCCGGTGCTATGGGATGATGACCGGGTGAATCCCGGTGCTACCGGATGATGACCGGGTGAATCCCGGTGCTATGGGATGATGACCGGGTGAATCCCGGTGCTACCGGATGATGACCGGGTGAATCCCCAGGACCTCGGCGGTGTCCGGGTACAACCTCGGGGCTGTGGGGTGCTGACGGTCCCGGCGGGGTCAGTGCTCGGCAGCACGGCGCAGGCAGCGCTGCCCCAGGCGCTAGGGGCCCTCCCCGCTGCGCTGCCGGCGGAGCCGCCTCCCTCGGGGCCGGGGCCGGGCCCGGGGCCGGGCGGGCGGAGCTGCGGGCGGGGCCTGGCCCATCCCGGCCGCGGCGGCTGCGGGCCCGGGGCGGGCGATGTGAGGACCCGGGGCCGGCCGCGGAGCCTCCCAGGGTAAGAGCGGAGCGGCCGCGCAGCCCCCTCGTGCCGGCGCTGGCGCGGAGGCCCCGGGCTGCCCAGCCCAGCCCGGCTCGGCTCGGCTCAGCGGCGCCGCGGCCTGCGCCGGCCCCGTCCTTGGCCCCGTCCCGTGCCCCGGCCCCAGCCCCGCGGCGGCCCCAGCCCGGGCTGTAAATACCGGGTCCGGATTAAGCGAAGTAGGGCGCGGGGGGGGGGGACGAGGGGGAAGGTGTCGGCGGGGGCCGGCGGGGGCCAGGTTGTGCAGGGCACGGGCACGGGCACCATCGCCGCGGCAGGGCTCAGCCGGGTCCGCGGAGCAGCAGGCAGCGTCCCGGCCCGGTCTGTCCCGGCCCCTGTCCCCGGAGCCCCGTCCTGCCTCCGGCCGCGCTGGCAGAGGCACCGTCCCGTCTGCCCCGCTGCAGGTCCGTCCCTGCGGCCCTCGGGATGAAGCTGAAGAAGCAGGTGACGGTGTGCGGAGCTGCCATCTTCTGCGTGGCCGTCTTCTCCCTCTACCTGATGCTGGACCGGGTGCAGCACGACCCCGCTCGCCACCAGAGCGGAGGCAACTTCCCCAGGGTGAGCGGTGGGGCCGGGGCTGGCGGGGGCCAGGGCTCCTTCCCTGCTGCTGTCAGTGACACGGGGGCCGGGACGCACCTGGCAGAGGGCACCCGAGGCTCTCACCGCGGTGTCTGTGTCTCCAGAGCCAGATCTCGGTGCTGCAGAACCGCATTGAGCAGCTGGAGCAGCTGCTGGAGGAGAACCACGAGATCATCAGCCACATCAAAGACTCGGTGCTAGAGCTGACAGCCCATGCGGAGGGGCAGCCGGCGCTACCCCACCACACATCCAATGGCTCCTGGGTGCTGCCTCCCGAGAGCCGCCCGAGCTTCCTCTCCGTCTCCCCACAGGACTGCCAGTTTGCCCTGGGGAGCAAGGGCCAGAGCCCAGACCTGCAGGTGAGGGCCCATCTCTGCTAGCACGAGGGTGTCCACACCACGGGGTCCAGGGGCTCCTGGCCCTACGCAGTTGGGTGTCTCTCAATCCAGTGTCCGCCCTGAGCCCTGTCTCCCCCCTGGCAGATGCTGGCTGTGTACTCCCTGCTGCCCTTTGACAACCAGGATGGCGGTGTGTGGAAGCAGGGCTTTGACATCACCTACGAGCCCAACGAGTGGGATGCTGAGCCCCTGCAGGTGTTTGTGGTGCCGCACTCCCACAACGACCCTGGTGAGCAGCCGGTGAAGGTGGGCAGGGCTGGGGAAGGGCCAGCGTTGCCACACACTGCTGGTGGGGAAGGGCTGGGCCCCGCGCAGTGACCCCCAACCTGTGCTGGCAGGCTGGATCAAGACCTTCGACAAGTACTACTATGACCAGACGCAGCACATCCTCAACAGCATGGTGCTGAAGATGCAGGAGGACCCACGCCGGCGCTTCATCTGGTCCGAGATCTCTTTCTTTTCCAAGTGGTGGGATAACATCAGTGCCCAGAAGCGGGCTGTGGTGCGGAGGTAGGGCTGCACGGCCTCTGCCCAGAGGCAGGGTGCTGTAACCCTGAGCATGCGAGCACTGCTGCAGAACCTGAGCAGTGCCAGCTGGAGAGACCTGGAGAGCAGGGTTGTGCAGTGGGAGAGAGCCCCCTTGTCAGCCCCCTGTTCCAGGAGGGCTGGAGATGGAGGACAGAGGGGACAGGGCCTGTGGGGTACAGCAGAGGATGTTGGTTTGTGTGGGGATGAGCTCTGGCTCGGGCCTTGGTCAGTGTATTGCTGTGGAAGAATGTCTGTCTGCCTGTCTGTCTGTGTGTGTGGGGACAGTGGGGCACAGCAGCCAGTGGTAGTGGGGCTGCAGGAGGGCCCCAAGCTCACCGCAGGGCTCAGCCTGGAGCTGATGCCACATTGTGTGTCCCCCTTGCAGGCTGGTTGGCAACGGGCAGCTGGAGATGGTGACGGGTGGCTGGGTCATGCCTGATGAGGCCAATTCCCACTACTTTGCCATGATCGACCAGCTCATCGAGGGGCACCAGTGGCTGGAGAAGAACATTGGTGAGAGCAGGGCAGGGTGCTGGGCTGGAGGGGCAGAGGGCCGGCCGGTGTGGGGCTGAAGGGTCTCTGTGCCCCCAGGTGTGACGCCGCGGTCAGGCTGGGCCGTGGACCCCTTTGGGCACAGCTCCACCATGCCCTACCTGCTGAAGCGCTCCAACCTGACGGGCATGCTCATCCAGCGTGTGCACTACGCCATCAAGAAGCACTTTGCTGCCACCCAGAACCTGGAGTTCATGTGGAGACAGACGTGGGGTGAGGGGCTGCTGGGGAGTGATGGTAGAGGGGGGGCCCTGCTGGGGTGGGTGGCAGCAGGGAACAGTTTCCAACTGTTTTCCCATGCGGATGGAGAGCTGA